TGTGTGTGTGTGTGTGTGTGTGTGTGTGTGTGTGTGTGTGTGTGTGTGTGTGTGTGTGTGTGTGTGTGTGTCATGACTGATCACATTCCTTTATATTTTATTTTTATATAAATGAACAGTTGGTAAAGTTATTCCTTCGAGTGAGTCGTGATTCATTCGATGTGAAAGTCATAAAAACTTTTTCTAAAAACTTGACACAGTTTTTTTAAAGTAAAGAAAATGAAACATGTTTAGATAAAAAATAAATATTCTTGTTTGAAATCACAGTTTTACTTTAGTCTGATTTCAACGTCTTCATTCACGTTTTAATCGAATTAGTTGATTTGCTGCCACAGATTCCGGTTTGTTAGCGGGTGAAGCAGAATCCTCGCTGAACTCTGAAGATGGAAATTCAAAGACGACATCTCCGTCATCACATGTTCCTCTGAGGACTACAACTCCCAGCGAGTCATCTGAGGAAGGTGAAGAAGAAGTTTTCAGTTTAAAATACGCTCGTACAAGAAAATGTGCACTACTCACGAGGAAGGTCGATTAGAATCCAAACATAAATACGTCTGTGACTCTGCAGGTTCAGTTTTCACCACTTCATCGCTGACGTCAACAAAATCACAAAACCGCCCAAAGGCAGGAAAAACGACCACGACGTCGAGAGGCTCATCTGAGGAAGAGGAGGAGGAGGAGGATGGTGATGAAGGAGAGCAGGAAGCTTCAGATGAGAGTAAGTGAGCAACCCGACCTCCTGATGAGGACCTCAGTTCTGAACCAGCCGCTCACAAACCACGAGTGACGTCACAGAGTCGTGACCTATCCGATGTTTTCACACCGTCACTGAACTGAACTGCATCAAATGTTGTTTTTCTTCTTCCAAGATATTTCTACAACTTCGCTCACGACCAAAATCACCGAAACCACATCGACACAGTCAACGACCACCGTGACAGGAAGCACGGCCATTTTGAAAACCACATCGGCTTCTCCAACAGGTCAGTTTGTCTCCGACGTGCAGTGGATTGAGAGAAAGGAGGCGTGGCCTCAGTAGAACGAGGAGCTGATTGGGTCGATGGAGGATTTTTTATTTTTGTCACCGGCTCGTCCATCTGTTACCGCGGCGTCGTTAGCTACTTTGAGCGGCTGCATCACAGACTGTAAATAAAGATGGACGACGCGTCTCCTCCTCCTCCCACGTCCAGAAAGGAAGCCAAGATATCCTGTACGAACGCTGACACCTGTCAATCATGACTCAGCGTGTTTTTACATCATCAAATAACTGAGATGAGAACGAGCTGAAACGACAGAATCATCTTTACAAACATTTATTTAACGTCTCCGCTGATTCTTTAGTTCGTGTCCCATCTGCTAACATGGAGGAGGAGTAATGAGCTTTACTGCAGCTAGCCACAAGGGGGCGACAGAGAAGCTTTGGCTCCATCTTTATTATTATATCTAGCCTGTTAGCATCGTCACCAGCGTGCAATGAATTGTGGGATAGATCCACAGGAGAAGGATTCAGCCATTAGATGCTTCCTCATTGAAATTCATCCACATCTGTATTCTGAACACACACACACACACACACACACACAGGCTTTGACAGGTGTCTGCGGCTCGAGGACGAGAATCACTCAACACATAAACGATCATTTACATTTTAAATCCCAGGAGGAGCAGAAGCAGGACGTCTGCTGCCGTAACGCTTTGTTTAATCCAGCGGAGTAATGTGCAGCGTCTCAGGTTGTTCTTCTCTGCAGGTGGACGAGTCGTCAGCTCCACGTTCACACCTGCGTCACCTCCGGCTTCACAGGAAGGAGAGCGGAGCGAGGACAACGCAACGCCCAACGCAACGCCCAACGCAACGCCCAACGCAACGCCCGCAGCCTCATTCATCACAGCAGCAGGTGAATAAACAGGCTCCATTAGAAAAGTAATGTGTGAAACAACTCACAGCTGCAGCAGCGACGCAGAACAGATCTGATCAACAACAGAACTCAGACTCGGTTTAATCTGCTCGTTCATCACTCAGCAGAGTTCAAGATGCTAAATGAATGAATGATCGTATTTATTTATTTATTCAGACGATTCAACTCAATCATCGGATCCAAGTTTCAGATCGTATCTCAGTTACAACGGAAGAAAAGTTTTACACATCAAATTTAAATCTGAATCATTTCTTTCTGTTTCTGAAATCATTATTTTGTGGTGGAAAGTAGCTGAGCTAATTAAACGTTTCAACATTTCAGATGGAAAAATGTCGAACTTGACACGACAGTTAAATTTAATTAAAATAAAAAATACGTAATTTTAGATTCAAAACAAATGTTCTGATCCATCAAATCTGACCTGAACTAGTTTACTACAAATGTAATCTTTCATCATTCACTGTGACCTTTGACCTTTGACCTGTGTGTCCATGTTGCTGAGAGCTTCAGTCGTCGTGTCAGATGCACGACCATCGTTCAGGAATGTTCATGTAGAAAAAACAGTTTCAATCAAACGCAGAATAAACATCTGTGATCGCAGCCTCGTCCACAGGTCCACAGGCCCCGCCCACATCTCCTGAGGCTTCATGGGAGGAGGACTTGACTCCTGCTGCTCCTCTCGCTGCCCTCAGTCCAGGTGAGGAGAAATACTTTATATTCAACGTTTAAGCCTCACCACTAGATGTCACTAAACTCACACTGCACCTTTAACAAACCACTTGTTTGTTCATATATCGAAAAGAAACGCGGCTGGAATTCTAACTTCTGTCTCACGTGTTTCAGGTCGAGCGACTCCAACATCATCGACTTCAGCGAGAACCGTCACCGTGGCGACACCGGGAAGACGGGTCACCTCCGTCAGACCCCGATCTGAGATCATCGAGTCCAAAACCACCACAACATCAACCCCGCTCACCACAGCTGAGTCTGGGGAAGAAGAGACGGACAAACCACCGTGTGTGGACGGAGACGAGATGGACAGCTCCCAGGAGAAAGACAAAGACGGTACAGTCCAGTCAGACTGTGAGGGACACGTCAGGGACACATCAGGGACACGTCAGGGACACGACAGGGACACGTCAGGGACACGACAGGGACACGACAGGGACACGACAGGGACACGACAGGGACACTGAAAGCAGCTTTACTGTGAACGTGAACTATGATGTTCATGTGGTCGTTAGCTCTTCAGGAATAAATCCTGTTCCCTCAGAACCAGGAAGTCGTCTTCCTGTCCTCATGCGTCTCCGTTAACTCAACAAGGTTTTTCTCGGGTTCAGTGACGTTAATTATATTTAAAGGGTTAAAGTGTGTGAGTTTGATGATTCACTGCTCGTTTTAAACATTGTTTCAGCAGTAAACTGGATCATTACAGAACATTACAAGGTCTGAGGGGGAAATCAAAGTGTGTTTCTCTGATCAAGCTCTGGTTTGTGGACAGACGTGGCTCAGAAGAGGACGGTGCCGTTCTTTGCCTGGTCCCTGCTGGAGTCTGTTGGTCTGAGCGACTTACAACTACGAGCCGACAGCAAAGGTACGACTCAGTTTGTGGGTGAAACAGAAGAAGACGTTCTGGTTCCAGCAGATTTCCACAAACTGTAGCTGTCGTTTTTTGAACCCGTGTCTTCCGGCAGAATGCAGTCTCTCCTTCACGCTGTACGGCGGCGACGGTCGAGCCAGGCGGGAGATGCCGGCGCTGGGGGAGATGCTCCACTGTCTGACGGGACGATGTCCACACGAGTACGAGATGTACGGCTGCTACTGTGGACAGGAGGCCGGAGGGACACCTCTGGACCAGCTGGACAGGTGAGCAGCAGGAAGTGATGAGAGGATAAAGATCTCACTCTGTAAACTCTAAATCCTGTTGTATCTCTGTCTCTGACGTGTCTCTGTCTCTGA